TCGTTCTACACCGATCCACCTGTTCTAGTATTATTTTCAAATTTTAAAATGAATTTCAAAAATTTTAAAATTCATTTTAAAATTCGAAAAAAATCGTGGAAGTCTGGATCCGTGTAAGAACGATCTTCATGGTTATGTGCATTTACGTGCAAAATTTGAAAGGGATCGGTCCATAATGAGACTTTTGGTACACCGGAATGCATTTAAACTTTTTGGAATTTTGTTACCCTCATAACTCCGCAACCGGATGTTGCGCGCGAAAACGGATTTCACGCCTATGTATACAAATCATTTGGCTACATTGTCAAAAAAGCAACCCAAAAAAGTGATTGGAAGTGCGCGAAAGCGAATATTCCCGTGTATGTACACGAATTTGGTGCTATGTACCGGGCCAGATCCCTTAAAAGGTAAAGACAAGCCTGCACTTTCTATGCACTCTCCGGCTGTCTTACCTTTCGTGACCAAGTTCCAGTGGACATCTACCTTGGCACTTTCAGCTCTTTATCTCCTCGCCCACACTCAACAAGAGCTTGCTGTGGGGATAGCAAAGGTCACGATTCCAATAATGAGATGGAATGCTGCTGTGTATGCAGAGCATGAATTATACCGTATTTAGGTCAGAAGAACCACGTCCAGGTTCAGCGTTGTGCATGGGATGACTGCATGGAAGGGGTTATTCTCGCAGCCAAGATTGAGATCAGTGCAGCTAGTACTGCCCCAGCACTGAATGACTGGGTTAGCAAGGAACATTTTAGCTGCTCCGGTCAGGTTGCGTTTGTATCGGTCAATAGCAGGCGCCTCGTGAAGGAGCGCTTGCGATGATGGATCGATAATGCGCTGGCAAGTCCATATTTTGGCTGCATGTACGTGCACAGGAATGACTGCAGCCAGTGGCTTCTCACCCGGGATCAATACCGGCGAGGCTGTGGATACAATATCGGTGGGGCCGCTGGAATCCATTCACTGGCAACTGCAAGCTTAAACGCCGCCCGACGCGGACACATAGTCAACATGCAAACTCTTCCTCCCGCTTCCCGATAAGGTATATGTCGCTTACGTTTATTTTTTATGCATTGGATGAAAAGTACTAGAACCTATGGCTAAGAAAACAGAATCTGACAGTGACAATCAGAATGTCTCCTTGGCCCACAGCCCTTCCGGCCGCCGATCAAAGTGTGTTTTGACTCTAGAATAGACATACCTAGATGGCGAAATCCTGCAGTCAAACGCTATAGTTGCCTAAGCAGAATATTTTGATTGCATAGTTTTGCAACAATTCATTTTATTTTTAGAATTTTTAAAACAGAAAACACCCCGCTGGTACTAGAACAGTTAAAGTAATTTCATAGGAAAAACCGACTGCGGCGTAGTACGCAGCAACTACACCGCTAACTACCGAATAGTATGCCGCTAACTAGATATCAAAACGGAATTTCCGACTCAACTTTCGCCGACTACTACACCGCTTGAGTCGTTTTAAAGCGAATTTGATTGGCTAGTGCACATAGCCCAACCTCTTGCTGATTGCGTCTGCCCCATTGGACGAGCTGCTGCAATTGCTATTGGGCAGTGCAGCTGCTCCAATTGGCTGGATTCTTGCAGATGCCGTTTACATGCTTCCTGCGATTCGTGCGTTTATAGTACTTAATTTTCCCACCCGCTCTGGATGACGACGTTTTATACGAGCCACTGATTTATTTTTGGGACAGCCATTAATAGGAGAATTTTTTATTTCAAGATCACTTCTACAGCATTACGGTCGTCGTATTAAAAAAAAGAATTCCAGAACAAGCGCGATAAAGTCAAACAAATTTTGCATTGCATGCAATGACAGGGTAACAAACGCAACAAACAATGTTACTAGCCAAAATGAATCTGTTCACACTTCGCAGAAATCAAAATCACAATCAAAAAGGCGAGCTTAGAATAATCCATGACGCTTCGATAAAAATCCAAAATAGTTTGGAACAGGAATTCCCGATCTGGCGTTGCAGTCAACAACCAGGGCACACGAAGTGTACTGTGGATTTGTAAACACGTCTGAAATACAACTGCTTTAGGTGAAAGTAAACCAACGCCTGCTTATTTTTGAACTATTTAATTTACGGACAAAGCTGACTTACAATTTATGTCTCATCAGAAGCTGCCATCTCCGAAGTCCGATCTGTCAAGAGCCAAATGTGTTGATGGAATTCCTGCAAAAAAAGAAACAATAGTTGCCAGTTTACCCGTTACTGAAAACGCATGTGCGCGCACTAACAATTTTCATCAAGACATCTGATGACGTTAAAAATATCATAAAATACCCTTATTGACGTCTTACAATTATTAACAATTTTTCAAGACTTCGAACCCGTCCTGACATTCACGCAAGCGTATAACAGGAATTCCCGGAAAATCATAGAATAATTACCAATAAGCGTATAATTACCGATAAACGTGTTGACGCTAAACTTCGAGTGATGTTCTCTCCGTCGTGGAATTGCCCAAATATTACCGTTGAACGTTGCAACTCAACAGTAGTTGAAAACCCGAACATATGAGGACGATTCCGTATTGCTGATGATTCCTGCCGAATAGAACTCCATATTTCGAAGCCAAACTGATGATGACAGCCAACAGGAATTCCGGAATTATCAGCAAATCCATATTTTATAACATCACGAGACGGTACCACGTAAGCAGACAGTTACAGAAAAGGAAACCTTTTTTGTGCCAAATTTTAAATTCCAAAGTTTATAACGGTGCAACTGCAGAGCGCAGACTGCGAAATGCAGACGTTGCGCTTGCACAAGTGGTGGTTGCTACGGGGCTGACTGTGAGACTATGAGTGCAAGTATTAGCCTGTACGTACAGAAACTCAAGTGGGCGGCACATGACAGCCCGCTCACTTACGAGCCAATGGGATTTACCGAAATAATTTAAGTTCGCGGCATAGTCGGTAGCATAGTCAACCGCATACTAACCCGCGTGCTACGCGGTATACTACATGGCTACTATGCGCATATCCCAATTTTGGCTTTTGCTCGATTTTCGTGTGAGTATAAGTGACCGGTACGTACAAATGGCATTCCAAAAGTAAGTTTCCCTGTTTTTGTGTATCTCCCTCTTTATATGCATTTAGCCATACTGGTATTGTTACGAAAGTGTCAAATATTCAGATCAGCCATATTTAAATGAACCATATTGTTACGAAAGTGCAGAGCCCGTTTTAAAAAATCATAGAACCATTTTGATAAACAATCCGACAAATTCTGAAATCCTTTCGCAAAATCAGTCCTAAACGTTGGCCAATTTACAAAGGTGCAAACATTTAGGTCAAAGAAAATATTAAGGCGTGAGCCTAGAGAACACGTACAATTTTCAATAATGATAAGCAGTGCATGGAACTATACTAGCGCTTTTGTTATAAGCTGGTACATTATCCCTTAACAATAGTTTCACTTAAATTTAGCGTCCGAAAAAGCGGGAATCAGCTCATAAACGACACTTTAACTTTCGTTGTTGCCTTCTGCTAGCCTGTCACATACAAGTATGGCCGAAACGTTGGCTACGCTCTTAAAACGTCTCAGTAATATCAGGAGCAATAATTTTACGCACAAAATTTGTTCGAGCATCTACTACACTGTTCTTATACACAGGACACCAGAGTAATACCTATTTGTAGTTTTTAAATTTCGGAGTTACTGTCTGTCAACGATCATTTTAACTTGCATGGTTTTGATTAGTTCTGCTACTTACAGAATACAAGAGTAATATTACTAATACTACTAAACGTAAACTTAAACTGTCGAAAGTATAACTCTTTGTTAAAATATTATCGCATATGAGTTTCTTACGCTCAACGATAGTACCCTAGTCAAAGCAACGATAGATCGACAGTTTTGAATTCCAGGCACTGTATCACCAAATTAATCACTATCCATAAAAGTACTCGTACAGTCGTACATATGCGGCTATAGGGTAATGGGCATTTCATTAATTTGCGCTTGTGTGCTACGCTTGCACCACGTTAATGATCTTAATAATTATCATCAACTTCCCGAGTGGACGATCAGATCCAACCGCTTCAACCGGAATGTAGATAAATGTTTCGAATGTTAACGTACAATAGCGCAGACTATAAACCGCGGGACGAAAAAGAGACAGTTGAAAATGAGCAAAATTTGCCAGAATGTGTGGTCTGCCCAATTGCAAACGCATACAGCCCACTAGCCGGTGAAGAATCGAACCGCGTGCCTCGTAAAACCGATTGCCATCATTAAATCGGCCGATAGTCCGTAGATCACTGAATGCGAGCAGAAATAAGAAAGGGCACTATCGTTTGTTTGTCGTTTGAACTGCAAAGTTCGAAGTTTGAACAGCAAATCGTAGGTAGCAGTGTTAAGGAGTTTCAGATTGCATGCGGTAGAGGCTCCGTACAGTACATGGAAATTTGCAGGTCGTGGTTTTATCCCGTAACCTTTCGGCAAATTCCTCCAGCGTAAGGTCACCTTGCACCATGGAATAAAAATCGGCCCATTCAGCTGCTCTGAAGGTCACTGTCGTGTAAGCAGTATCCAGCTTTACCAGTAATTCGTCAAGGTCGAATTCTCGAGGTCGTTTCGGCCGGCACAGTGAAACCAGCTTCTGGAACGCCTTCACTCCCAACGAATTCAACAGGAGACCTCGTTGTTTGTCTTTCGGCATTTCTGTCCATTCTATGAAGTTTTCGAACCTTTCCTTCCAGTTCTGCCATTCATCCTCTTCAGGATCGAATTTCAACAAAATCACATCATCCTGGTTAACTTTAGACATTGTACAGAAAATAGCAAAACGTATGCCGGTAGAAAAGGCAATAGTAATGAAACTAGTAATATCCAGTGGTCTACCCTTAATAAGTTCGGACTTCACGCCAATTGTGGTATATGTGGGAATAGTACCGCTTTATTGTGAATCGTAACTCGACAAAACAGCAACTGATTTTGCTGACACTGTTTGTCAGCAACAATACGGACAGCGTCGCTAGGGACAAGCGCGCGTCCTTTGTACAAGGTCGAGGCATATCTCACAGAAGGAGTTCACGCGGGAGAGTCCCTTGTTACCCAGCGTATATGCCAGCTGCAATTAACGTAAAGCTACCGCGAAGCTTCCTATCCGGGCAAAATGTTCGCTTTTGCCTTGTTTCGACATCACGACATGTAACACTGTTTTTCTCTTCCACAAAGCTAGAAAAGTTTTTTTTTTACTGGCGATGCATAGATACTGTACTGTAGTTTTTCTTAATGTCACCCCGAAGTTCATCAGATGTGCATTCGGCTAAAATGTGAGCCCGTCTCCTGTTGCGGCAAAAGTCCTCACATTACTTGTCTTAGCAATCTCCGGTCGGCTGCCACATGAAATTATAAATATAAAATAATGAATACGAAATGCGACATGAAAATATGCGACGTGAGATTATGATTCTATACACACTGTGTGTGCACACACTCTGTTTCTATCAGATGGCGAGATTTTTGGCGACCTGCAGATTCCAGCAGAAGCTTGTCAGAGCCTTTGTAAAATTTAGGTACAGAAGCTTTGAATAGCGTTGAATACGCTAGAAATTCGTAGTGCCATTGAGAAAATAGCGTTAAATTATAGAACATATGTATTATCTTAATTTTTGTGAAACGAATTAAACGAATGTGTGTTTTTCGATGCTTCCGGCTAATGCTTGGTAAATGACCGTTTCTACGCGGCTATGTGTTACACTTTTGTGGAATTTATTTATTATGCCTGTTTAGAAGTACTAGTTTTTTTTAGAATAGCCCCCGCAGATAACGACATATCATCGGAAAACAGAACGCTGACGCTACTTTAGAGAACATTCATTATCACTTTCAGGGCTATGAAGTTAGGTAAGTGCAACTTCTCATAAAGGAACAAAAGATTAAAAACCGCGGACCGGAATGCACAGCCAAAACATAAGTTTAATAACATAAAACGTCAGAAATTATTTTCATCATATCAAGCTGCAGAAACCCGGCTCATTCCAAAATCCAGTCAAAAAAATTATATAATATAAACCAAGTAACAAACAGACAAGCATTCAGAACATAATTAATAATAAAGTATAGATACAATGTAGGACTAAATTAATGGTCGCATAGCCCCATACCCAGCATTCTGTACGCAAGCGGTGCAGTGCACTTGTACGAAACGGATATTATTTTTGAACTTATCCATGGTTAGTCGTACAGTGCACTGCGCTGCATACGTACTGAATGTGGAGATGTTGGGTATGCGACCATTTCGTCGTACGCTGTACATGTACGTGAACTTCAGAACCACTTGCAATATACAATAAAGAAAAGCAGCGTCACTACTCACTGCACAAATCACTCGTAGTTAAATAATAATTTCTCACGCACACCCTCTTTGCTTTAACGTTAAGAATGCAAAATTTCGTCCGGTTCCATGGCACACCCTAATTTAGCTGATACCAGCGCCTTGTTTCATCCAGGTTGATTGGATCTGATCAAAGACACAAGCTAACTCATTATACCTGCTTTTATCGTTTGGATTAACAGCGTCATGTACCTTTGAGATCTACGACGACCTCGCCGAGAAAAATATCAACCCACATCGGATTATAATGCCATACGGAGATCGCGATTTTCTTGTGGTTAATCTCATCGGGGTCGATGCCCTGGAAAGTGAAGGTTTCCTTCCATTCGGGACTCACATTCTGCGAGATGTACCGCGTGCGGTAGTTGTATGTGTTTTCCCTATAGTGCACGCAGAGATGTCCGTTCGAAGAATGGCAGTCGGAAATCATAATTTTTGTTTAAAGCTACGTACGCTCGTCCAGGCGGCACCACGTGAATTTTACAGTAGGGATTGGAGTAACCGGGTTTGTTAGGCGCTTTCAGATTGCGTGCTTTCAGTACTTGCAATGTTACACAGCAGCGGTGATAAGTCATGCGCAGGAGGATATCACCCGTAACCGGATAAAGCACGTTGGATGTGAACCTCTGCAATCAGCCCACAACATTGAACGTCAAACACTTTCATGACAGCTCTTAAGTGAAAACTCTTAATTAATGCTATCTAATCGGTTTATCACGTGCTGAATGTCTGTTCTCATTATTTTGCCCCAAATGTGCTATACTGTTTCTAGCTTGACTTCACTTTTGGTTTTACCTACTTCCGAGGCGGTCTAAACGTCTAATTAACTAAGAGCCTGTGTTCCGCTGTTCTTTCGGGTTTTAACTAAATCACAGCTGCATTGGTGACCTTAAATCATCTTTCAATTTTCGCAGCTAGAAGCTAACACAAAGCGCAGACAAGCAGTTCGAGTAAAAATGCTGTAGTCACATAGCTACACTACCTTTTTGCGAGCCTGGAAACCGCTACGCAACGGCGGCGCCAGTTGATCGCGCGGCACATACGTTTCGTATTCGTCCATCTTCTCCGTCCGCCCGCCCCGCTGCGTCCCAAGGAGGGTGTTTTCTGGCATGGTTTCACCCAACACGTGCTTTCCATATCGACGGCGCCCTTGAGTCCTTGTTTGGCGTCCTTGCCCGTCCTCCGGCGTTTGCACCAACGCCGGACGCAGCCTAGTAGGTGATGGCAAGAAAGATCAGACAGCAATTAGCGATAACAGCTGCCAACACTGCTTTTTTCGGCACTACAGCCTAGTTGCACCGTATTTATTCGTATTATACAGATTTAGATAAGTTCATGCATGTTAAATTTTTTGGGGCTTTTTTTTGGGAAATGTATCCTCAGTATCTCATCGTATCCTGACACTTGACAGTATCCTTTACATTTCCTGTATGCATCCTTTTGATACTACCTTTTTCTTTCACTACCGTATACCACCGTATTTCCTCAGTGTTTTCTGTGTATCCAATATGTATTTTACTGAAAAAACGAAAGAACACATAACACACATAAACATAAGAAATCCAACACAGGATACTGCATGCTTGACGAGTACGCACCAGATACATAAAGCAACGTAAGCATACTGATATTGCATTAAGTCTATCAAAGTTGAAGGCGGCAGAATGCCTACATAGAGTACTGTGGGATACGATAGGCAAAACGCGCCGTAATACGTGCAACATAACAACTGATGTTTGCATGATGTTCAACTTCAACATAAAGGAATCTGCAAATATACGGCGAGCTGCGGCAAAGAAACTAAAAAAAGATTGGGCGTTTTCAAAAATCAGTGTCAGGGTACCCCAACATCGCAGTTAATCCCCTTAAATCTCGCTCCGGTCTAGGTCTTCACTTACATTTCATCCGCTTTAGCTTATCCATTATTTTGTCGGGAGCGCGCTCGCTCATCGCCTTGCGGTGCGGCCCTTGGTACTTCCTTTTCCTTTCGTACACAATCTCCCGTTGCTTGCTGGGACTATTACAGAGATCAAGAGTCCGATAATGAGAAGATATGGTACTGCGTTTGTAGGGAATGCGCTGGGGCAGGAAGGACCACGATCAGGCTCCGCGTTGCTCAGGTGATGACTCAATGGAAGAAGTCAATCGTCATTGTGGAATTTAAGCACTACCACAACACCGAATGACAGCGTGAGCAGGCAATCTACTAGCTGCCCCGGATTAAATCGAGCTTGCGTGGTTCAGTAGTAGGCAGTGCCAAACACCTTGCGGAAGAGCGGCGATGGATCGATAATACGCTGGCAGAAACAGGCTGGATGTACGACTGCCTGTAGTTCGACTGACTCACACTGACGGGAATAAATGTAGTCAGTGCCAGCAAGCCGGAGATTTATGCTGGCAACGCTTTCCTACTACAGTAAAACCCCCTTATATTATAACCTTCATTCCTTTATTACGTGTATATGACAGAACGAATTGTCCTGTAGAGTGCAGACTATATAACACAGGGGCAGTTCTCTATATTGTAACAACAGCCTATCTGTGTGTAATATCTGTGTGTAATATCGGCAGTGAAGGCGCGCTGAGCTTTCCAGTGTAATCAACCTTCACATGTTCATTCGGCAAAGTAATGTTGTGCTTTCCCATGTAGGAAGTTAATTTATCAACATAACCTGACCGAGAGACTTTCCTGTTAATGTAGACATTCAGACTGTTGCTGATGTCTTGCAGCTGCGCCTTGGTGAGTTTACCAAGTTGAGACTGCAAATTTATCTTCTGAGATTCCATTGAACTGGTGGACCATGACAGTTAATGTTGTGCTCTCAGAGCATCCAGAGCGGTGTTTACGATACACAAGAAAGTTTTGGCGCGAACGAGAGCAAGGCGGCAATGCGGTGCCGGTGAACAACGAAACAGTCAACGAAAGCGCAAACAAGTAATATAACCGGAATATTATGTACCGTATGTTAACATTTGCCACGAAAACTGATGACAACAAAACAGGAGCGATGATACGAGTATGAAATAATTAAGTTAGCGATCGTTGAATTAATGCAAAACTTAGATGTAATTAATATATCAACGGTGAAAATGCAGTTTCACTTCTTTAACTGATGCTGTAACACTCACAAAACGGCGATGCTATCCGTTCCGGGACTTCCGCAGGCTGGTGTGGGAAGTGGCGATGGTATGATAATCGCGGGTGTTGGCTGCAGGCGTCCAGGTGCTAGTACAGTACTGGTTCGAATACAGGAGCGCCATGTAACAACAGTCTATCTGGCTGCTGTTCTAGTGGGTTGGTTAATCCACCGTACCACGATCTGTCGGCTGTTAGGTTGAAAGGTGGTACGACCGGCAACGATGCTGGCCGGGGACGCTACTGCTGATGTTACTCAATTACACAGGTGGCTCCGATTGGGATGACACAGGTTCATCCCAAGCGGTCAAACGCAACAACGTAACTCAAAGCATGTTTCATGCCAAGGCGTTCAAGAAACGGAGCAAGGTTTACGGCAAGAGTTTCAGCAAGAGGAACAATCAAGTAGATGCAAGCTGACATCAGGGCCTAAAATAGTGGAAAGTCAATGATGGACGCCCCCCTGAGGGGGGACGTTCAGCCCCCCCCTCAGGGGGGCTACATGATTTTAGCAAGTGTTTTCGCACTAAAGTAATTCCGTTATTGTTAATTGGTCGATTGCACTTTATTTCCGTGGTTAGCTTAAACCGTGTACATTGTACAATCTGGGGTGAGGAATACCGGTATAATATTATTATGTGAAGCAATGAACTTTATTGCATTTGCAGCTACGGAAAGACTAAAAACCGAAAAAAAACTAAAACTAAAAGAATTGCAACTAATAAAGCGCGCTCAAAACTCGAAGCAGTAGCTTGCATTGCATAATAACAAGAGCATTGCATATTACAACCCGGCAAATGCAAGGAGTGAATTTAAGTTTTAAGTTTTTTAAAAACGCCATGGTAATAATCCTGATTACAAGAAGGCGCCGTTTCACGCGGGCGGCGGTATTTTTCTTTAAGCCACAGCCGCACAGCCGGCTAAACGTTTGAAAGGGCGTCGGTATCAAACTGAATCAAAGAAAATTAATATATTAATCAGCAGCTCGAACAAAACTTGATTTTCTTTATTTAGGAGTATCAGATGAAAATATAGTTACGGCAATGGTGTGAATCTGAAACTGGTTGCTTTCGTAGCTTGATGAATGATAGTGGCTTGCTTTTTACTGCTGCTTTACACCCGGATCTTGCAGTAGAACGCTATTCTCGCACTTTTTGTTCATCATGTAAAGTACTATCACAGTTGCATAGTACTATCAGCACAACTCCTTGTGAAATGAAATGAAAGGCCGCCTAATTCTCATGCTCATTGAAGAGTTTCCAAGCCTTTCACTGGCTGCCTGCATACCTGAATTGTGAAGGTTTGGACAATCAGCCTGTCTGCTCAGTTTCTTTTTGACCCGGCAAGAAATTTATTTTTTAATCGTCATACCCCTATTTAATTTTTATATTTTTTTTTGAATTTTACAATGATGGACACTTTTGCCGGCAATGATGGACACAAATATTTCAATGATGGACACTTTGTCCATTAATGGACACTATTTTAGGCCTTGCAAGCTGTAGCAAGCGAGTGTCAAGACTGAATTCTAGAAATTCATGAGAATGGAAACTGGCCGGTAAAGTGGACACAATTCATAACGCGATGGAATGAATCATAACTGGGCGGTCTTATCGTTCGTACAAATACTATCGCTACAATATTATAACGTTCACCCGTCTACAAATATAGAACTGATATGACGTACACCCATTATGGAACCGTTGATCGACATTATTAAGGGAAGGTTGCCGGTATATGAGACCAAATTCGTGGGCAAGCAAATTGTACAACACCTACAATTTGCTTTTGCGCAACCCCAAACACTTTTTTCTAATATATGTTTTATGTAGACAACAAATTAGCCAAATTTTCACGTTAATTAGCCATGAAATCAAGTGAACTGCCAACGACTAAAGCGGTCGCCGTGCCCTGGATTGGTCCAGACTGATGTGCTGTTGTAGACAGTAGTGTCGTTATCAGATTCGCTGACATTAATCCCATTTTACCGGACTGCCGGCTATACATATACCCGCACTACACGTAATAAAAGACAAGCTTTGCTCGTTTTTATTGAGTTATGCTTACACTAGTTATTAATTTGTTTAAGACAGCGATCGAAATTTGGCGAGGCAATCAGACGCTCGTTGAAACGGCTTATAATAGTAAGCTTTAATGCGATCGAGCACTATAATCAGAGTCGGATAGGTGACCCGCCACTTCGTCGACCGTCAATTCCTGTGGCACCCTGGCGGGTATCACTGTTTTACAATCAGCCTCTGTAAAACCCTAGTTCATTACAGACTGAAAGCAGCAAAGAATGCAGCAGGATTCCCGAAGGTTTATGAGTATTGTAACGGCAACACCGGCATACCTAACAATAAAGTGCTCTGCCATATGCCGCTCAGCGCGCAATCATTACAGCTTCTCCAAGGTTTAAATACATTCATTAACTGCCTAATCAGTACTAATGTGGGCGAAGTTTTTTCATAGTAACCATTAGTGCTATCGCACCTAAAGCAACAAAAAAGAAACGTTAACCGTAATGCGCAAGCAGAACATTGTTTCAATGATACAAAACGTCGGAAATTACTTTTTTTTCGTCATATGCAAACGTAGAAACCAGACTCTTTTCAACATTCCTTTACAAAATCGAATTTTACGGTAAACCAAGTTGTAAAAATGGAGTTCCGAAACATTTAGGAGACTACAATTATTTAAAAAAATTCGTTAACACTGGGAACATGTACAATACACAATAATGAAAAGTAGGAGAGGAATACGACTTTCCTTACAAACCAGTGTAACACTACCAACCACGCAGCACCGGAGTGTAATGTGACGAATGCTACATTTTGCCGGTCTCCATGGCACACCGCTCTTCCAACTGATACCAGCGCCGTATGCCATCCAGGTGGTTCGGATCTGACGAAAGATCAACGCAAACTCATTAAAACCTGCTTTATTTGTCGTTTGGATTAGCATGTACGTATACCTGTGAGATCCGCAATGACCTCGCCAAGAAAACTATCCGCCCACAGCCGATTCCTGTCCCATACGGAGATAACGACTTTCTTCTCGAAAATTTCAGTGGGCTGGATAGCCCCGAATGTGAAAGTTTCCTTCCATTCAGGACTTAGAGTGTGCGGGATATAGCGCGTGCGGTACGGGAATTCCCTATAGTGCCCACAGAGGTGTGGTGCCCTTTCGAATAATGACACTGCGGTATCATAATTTTGCTTTAAGGCTACGTACGCTTGTCCAGGGAGAACTTGCACCTTGCAGTATGGATCGCAGTAACCGGTTTTCAGATTGCGCGCTTTCATCACTTGCAATGTTAGAGTGCACCGTCCATACGTCATACGTAGGAGGATATCTCCGGTAACCGGATGAGGACCGCTAGATGTGGCCGAATGCAAAGAAGACAATGATGTAAACGGGTGATAAACTAAGAGTCTGTGTTCCGGTGTTTTCGTGATTCTAATAACCCTTTAAATATCGTAGCTGCACTGGTGGCCTTATACAGTATCTTGTTCCTACCTACGCAGCTTCAAGTTTCTACGAAACGCTGGATATGCTCCAGCGTTACATCGTAAAATACCTTCTTGCGAGCCAGGATACCACTACGCGACGGTGATACCAGTTGGTTCTGCGGCACATAAAATTCACCGTCCAACACTTGAACTCTCTCTAGACTGACTTTGTCTTTGAGTCGCTTCTTGGCGTCCCTGGTCTTCTCGCGGCGCTTGCACCAACGCCGGACCAAGTAGTATATGATGGCCAGGAAAATCAGGCAGCAAGCGATGATGATAATCACCAATTCTGTCGGCACTGCAGATGCACAACGAGTGAAATAAATATTTATTTTACATAATACGAGTAAAATGCTCATTTGAGCGGCAAGTTAATTGCAAAATACCTTCTTTTTACTGCTGTCAGCTGTAACTTTTTTATTTTACAAGAAACAGCCTCGGCTTCGCCTCCGCGTTTCTTGTGGTTCACAGCCATTTTATTTGAATTTAAATGAATATTAAATGTTTATTAGAATAACATCTATATTTCGTCGAAACATGATCGGTACATGCAATAGGGCAAACACGAATTTTCTATGAAAATCAGTTCATGATTCTCTCAAGCTTGAAAGCATTCCCTTTGGCTGTACATACAGATAATTTTACGATATCCCTACCCAAAAGAAAGCCGAAATATCAATCTGTAAGATATGAAATTTGAAACAGTGATAGTGCACTGGATCACCAGTTCTGTGACTCGTCACTTCACTGGCTCTTTTCATTGGAAAGT